TTATATTACGTAGGGCCTAATCTATTCTTAGTAGAATAACAATTGTTTATATTACGTAGGTTCTAATCCGTTCTTAGTAGAATAACAACTGTTTATATTACGTAGGGCCTAATCTATTCTTAGTAGATAACAATTGTTTAAATTACGTAGGTTCTAACCCTTTATTAAAGGAATGATAATTGTTTGAATTAAATAGGGCCTAATCCGTTCTTAGTAGAATAACAACTGTTTATATTACGTAGGTTCTAATCTATTCTTAGTAGAATAACAACTGTTTATATTACGTAGGTTCTAATCCGTTCTTAGTAGAATAACAACTGTTTAAATTACGTAGGTTCTAATCCGTTCTTAGTAGAATAACAACTGTTTAAATTACGTAGGTTCTATTCCGTTCTTAGTAGAATAACAACTGTTTAAATTACGTAGGTTCTAATCCGTTCTTAGTAGAATGACAACTGTTTAAATTACGTAGGTTCTAACCCTTTATTAAAGGAATAATAATTGTTTTAATTGTGTAGGTGTTAACCGTTCTTAGTAGAATAATAATTGTTCATTTATGTAGGTACTGACCAAAGATTCAGTGACTGTCTCTGTTGATGCTGTAGTTTATTACCGGGTTCACAATGCCACTGTATCCGTGGCTAATGTGGAAAACGCTCACCACAGTACTCGCCTGCTAGCTCAAACCACACTTCGTAATATGCTTGGAACACACGACCTTCATCAGATTCTTGCTGATCGTGAACACATCTCCAACTCCATGCAGGTACTCAGTCTGTTTAACACACTATTCATATATAAGCATAAGTGTGTATACGTATTTATGTACGTATAATATAAGCAAATTAACTGGTGACAAAAGCTGAGATTGAAAACTAGAAGTCAGAACTAAGCCTTTCTACTGTGTGATAAATAACGTCTCTAACTTGTGTGGCAATCAATTAAAACAACACTTAAAAACGTGCTTTGAGGTGAAGCAAACATTTTCTCGCCGTTCAGCTCCAATAAGTGTGGTGACTGAGGTACTTAGATTCATTTTGAAAACATATAACATTTACAAATTATTCGCGAATTATTTGCATCTGAAGATGTTCTATTATTATTATTATTTTAAATATGTTTTGTTCATTTGTTATCACTTTAAAGTTCAATGTTTTTCGAACTTTTTTTCTTAATTTGAAATTGTGTGTGTATGTTGTAATATGTTTATTCTTGAATCACTGAAATGCTTCCAAGTATGAACATGCGTGAACAAGGTATCAAGCTTGATAAATTATCTTGATAATTTTTTATTTGTTTAAGCACCTATCTTTGTAGTCTTCATTACCAAACTTCGCTGTAAGTATCAACATTCTGTTCTACCAAATCTGTTTGGTTTTTTTTTTTTCTATTTACTAAAGCTAAAGAGTTCATAAGTAAGATTCCTTACTATTGAAGTAGCTAGGTTTTTGAGATCCCCAGTTGATGTTGTTAGGGTTTTAGTTACCTAATGTGAAGTAATGTTGTAACTGTTTATATCTTGTACTTCGGGTAAAGAAGTCGTGTCTGTCAGATAAAACTGGAAAGTTAAACATTCGTAACTTCTTTTTTTTTTGGACTGACAGATTATAAAATAGGTTATTTAAACAACAAAATACGACAGAAGTGTTTCCATCTGAAGCATTATAAAGCTGTTCATTGCTTGGCTGGTTTAATTAAAGCTGCTGCTTTGTTGGGCAGCATTTTCTGCCTGGTTGAACTGTTCAAAGTTGATGTAACTCAGCTTGGAGTATTCAGACTTTTATATAATACAAGTTAAAATCCGTCATGTTAAAACGAAAGTTAGTGTTGGTAG